CGTAAATGCATACTCCGGTAACTTCCGGTAAGATGGCACCCGTGTACATGGCCTGCAATCTACCTCTGACGATACTGTTCGGATTATTTCTGCTTTTTTCGTTTTTTGTCTGGGATATCAACTCGCTGCTTGTGTATGACCGACAACAGCTCCTCGATCTTCGATTGTCTGTTTCTGCTGTCGCTGATTCGGACCATTTTGATCGTGACTCGGGACCCCCCCCCCCCCCTTCCACCCCTTCTGGCAGACGTGCCTGCTTGTTTACGCTGGGCCCCAAGCCTGCCTTCTCGGAGATATCGATCCAGACGCCGGGGTAAACGTGCCGGCCGGCTAGTAAAACTCAAAGCTCTGCGTGGTCAATGTTTCCACAGCCAGCTTCCTACGTGCCCGGACCAGGGAAAATATGGGTGTTGTCTACCGGCCCCGCGCTTGGACCATCTTGGAGGCGCTGTTTTTGAAAATCTGCAACCGTTGGCGCGCACCACCCCCACCATGGCTGGTTCTGTGTCGGACCAGATCAGGACGTGCCTCATCAACACAAGGTCTGTTGCCAACAAGACTTTTATTCTAAATGACTTTTTTAAAGACGAGGGACTAGATTCTCTTTTTCTCACTGAATCCTGGTTGCCTTTGGGTGATTCAAGCGCCTTGGTGGAACTTTTACCTCCGGACTGTCAGTGTTTTAATGCCCCGCAGCCATCAGGTCGGCGGGGTGGTGGAATATTAACTTTATTTAAATCAAACTTTTCCTGTAAACAGTTGTCCACCCTCATGCCCTGCTCCAGTTTTGAGCTGAGTGCTTTTGAACTCGGACATTCCCCGCCCGTTCTGTGTGCAATTGTTTATCGCCCCCCTCGTTCCAAGGACTTTATAAGTGAATTCTCTGATTTTCTGGCTTACATCACACCAAGATATGATCACTTTATTATCGTTGGTGACTTTAATATTCACGTCTGTTGTCAGGAGAAGCCGTTAGTGAAGGACTTCCTTGATTTGTTGGACTCATTTAATTTAACTCAACATGTAAATGCTCCCACCCAACAACACGGTCACACTCTGGAACTCACTTTAACACGTGATGTCTCTGTTTGTAATTTGGTAATCGGTGACAACGTTCTCTCAGACCACATGCCTGTCTTGTTTGATATCATCCCGCCTTGTCCTACTGCTAAATCATGTGATTCTGCACGTACTTCACGCGCCATTAACCGTTTCACTGCTGCACGTTTTACTGAAGCTTTTAGCTCTGAGAGGATCGATCAGCTCTCAGTGTCTCTCTCCACCGAGGAGCTAACCTCTCAGCTTAACTCTGTTTGCTTAAATATTCTGGACCGTGTTGCTCCCGTTAAAACCAGGAAAACAAAACTTTTATCAGAACCATGGCTTAATGACGTCACTCAAGCCGTTAGACAGCAGTGTAGGAGAGCAGAACACAGGTGGAGGAAAGACAGGCTGCAGGTTTCTTTTCAAATCCTAAAGGAGAGTTGGCGTCATTATCAGAAGGCAGTTAAAGCCGCCAAATCGAAGTTCTTTTCTGCAATAATTGCCTCAAACTCCCACAACCCCCGAGCCCTTTTTTTCACCCTGAACTCAGTTCTACACCTCAGTGAACCTTCACCTCTAGAAGCCTCAACTGAGCAGTGTGAAAACTTCCTCCATTTCTTTTCTGAAAAAGTTGCAAACACCCGGTCACTCATTTCTCCACCTGCTCATGATCCGTCCATGCCATCTCATTGTGTTGCTGTTCTGGACCACTTCGAGCCCATCTCTCTGTCTTCCCTGGAGCAGGTCATGTGCGGCATGAAGCCATCTGGCTCCCCTTTTGACGTTGTCCCCCCTCGACTCCTTAAGGAGCTTCTTCCTGTTCTGGGCCCTCCTGTTCTTGGCATTGTGAACAGTAGCTTAGCCTCAGGTGTGGTGCCAATAACTTTTAAACATGCTGCTGTCCAACCTCTCCTGAAAGAACCTATCCTTGACCCCTCAGTCATGTCCAACTTCCGGCCTGTCTCCAGACTCCCATTTGTCGCTAAACTGCTGGAAAAAACAGTGGAGTCCCAGCTGAAATGCTTTCTAGAGGATAATGCCATCTTAGAGCTATTCCAGTCTGGCTTTAAACCTCTTCACAGCACTGAAACTGCTCTACTCAAGGTTTTTAACGACATTCTCCTATTCACAGACGCTGGTGATTCTGTGCTCCTTCTCTTACTGGACCTCACATCTGCCTTTGATACAATTGACCACGAGATCCTCGTTGCGAGGTTAGAGCAGTGGGTGGGCATCACTGGGTCAGCCCTCGAATGGTTTAGATCTTACCTCGCTGACAGGTCCTTTTGTGTCTCCATCAAAGATTTTAGTTCAGCCTCGGCAGCGCTTACATGGGGGGTACCGCAAGGGTCCATCCTTGGTCCTCTTTTATTTTCTTTATACCTGCTGCCACTAGGTGCTATTTTCAGGAAACATAACATACCTTTTCATTTCTACGCAGACGACTGCCAAATCTACTTCCCCCTCAGACTCAACGGTACTCGCTCTATTCAACCGTTACTGGACTGCCTGGCTGACATCAGAGATTGGATGGCTTTAAATTTCTTGAGTTTCAACGAGAAGAAATCTGAAGTTATGCTGTTTCCTCCCAATGACACAATCACCAACCACTGCATCGACCTATCCGTTCTGTCACCGTTAGTGAAACAAAGAGTCACTAATCTAGGAGTGATACTTGACCCTTCTCTGAAACTCAACAATCATGTAAATATGATTGTTAAATCCTGCTTTTTCCAGCTGAGGCGACTGTCTAAGCTGAAGCCCATATTGTCCAAAAATAACCTGGAGACAGTAATTCATGCATTCATTACATCCAGGCTCGACTATTGCAACTCACTCCTTTTTGGTATCAGTCAGACCTCCATAGCTAGACTCCAACTGGTCCAAAATGCAGCAGCCCGGTTTTTGACCAGCACAAGCAAAAGGGAGCACATTAAACCTGTTTTGGCCTCCCTACACTGGCTTCCGGTTCACCTTTGAATCAAATTCAAAATACTCTTGTATGTCTATAAATCACAAAACAGCTCTGCCCTCTCCTATCTTACTGATCTGCTCCAGCCGTATGTCCCACCACGTTCCCTCAGATCAGCAGACCAGTTGCTCCTAACAGTCCCAGGAACCCGTCTCAAGTGCAAAGGTGACAGGACCTTCTCTGTAGCAGGCCCAAGACTTTGGAATGAGTTACCTCTGCTGGTTAGACAGGCCACCTCCCTCACAGTTTTTAAATCTTGCTTAAAAACACACTTCTATTCCCTGGCTTTCTGCACTGTGTGATCTGTGCTGAGTCAGTGTGCATCACACTGTGTTGGTCATGTTGTGGTTGTTGTTGTTATCCATTATTGTTTTTGTTGGTTTCTACTTTTTGGTGTCCTGTTATGTAATCTGTTGCTATGTGCTTGTTCTGTTTGTCCCTGTACAGCACTTTGGTGTGCTTTGTCACTGTTTAAAGTGCTTTATAAATAAATTGGTATGGTATGGTACTCCGCCTCCCCGTGATTTCCCCGTTAGCTCGCTGCAGCGGTCCGCTTGAAAAAAAAATCTGTCATCCAGCTGGAAGACTGTGTCCGGCGTTTTGCTTGTAATCCACGTTTCCGTGAGGCAAATGCAAATATAAATGTGTATATATATATATAT